GAATTAGCCCTAAGCATGATTATTTAATTTTAAAAAAATACATCTGTTCAAAAACCGCGGAGCTTTAACGTAACATACACAAAAAAGTATCTATATTCAGGCAAATTGAAAATTTAACTTCTTCTAGGAGTCGAGTAAAAAGAGTAGAAACTCTTTAGATAATTTATTCATCCTATAAAAAAAAAACTAAAACTTTAGCTGACTAGAGAATCGACTTGAGCCCTATTCCATTCGAAAATATACTCACTACAGTGTAAAAGCGCTTTGACAAAATCATTTCAAGCTGAATACAGGCAGACGACAGAGAGCAGTATTTCAATCAATTTAACCCGACGACATACAAAACAATCGCACGATCACAGTGAACCCGGAGCTATATTGGTACTATATCGATTACCGACAGACGTGGCTTTTAGATTGGGTGTATTTCTAAACGAATATAGAAAAATATTAAACTTGATCAAGCGGACGCATACTTGTAGAGTAAGGCAGGACACTTCACTACTGCAATTAATTGACCTAAAAATGCTAATACAATGACTGCTAATAGTGGATTATCGTCTACCCTTAAACACTAAAGACACTATATTTTTAGTTTACTGTGTAACGTGAATCTGGGGATTCAGCAAATATTTAGCATTTTCATTCCACTTAAGAAGTTCGAACTTTACGAGTTACGGACGAAATATATTTACTATTCAAACAACAAAGGATTTGAAGATACTGAAATTACTTTTGTTTGTAGAACTAAGCCATTCGAAGTGTATAATTTAGCCCTGTGAGTGACTGTATATTCTGACTTTTCTTGACACAAAAAATAATAATACCGCACCCTAATTTATTTTCTGAATAACTGAATATTTCTAGAGGATAGCTTGAATATTGTAGCAAGACTTTATTCCAAAATGATTTCATATTTTAAGACTTTAGGCAATAATATAAAGATTTTGGCCACCGTCACTTGTGATTGACCGACACCTGGGCCTCAATTCTGCTATTTTATGTTCACGCTAAGTCACTGTCATACCACTGACACGCTATTGAGATGCCATCGAGTGGCCATTGGCATCGGTATAAATATCGGTAGTCTACACTAACTCAGTGTCTTTACAGTGGCGATAGAATGCCAGTGTCTCATCAATTCCTTATAAGCGAGCACATTACGTCACAAACCGCTGTCTGCTTACTCTCTCACATCTTATCTCAATAAAATATATAATTTAGAGTGACTTAATAGCCATCTTTAAACTCTAGTTTGCCGTAATCGTTCCCAAGGTGAGCTTTTATAAAGAACAAGTAAACCAAAGTTAATTACACGACCTAAAATGACCAGTCAACAAGAGCCGTGCTGTTGACCAATTTTCTTTATAAATGTTTTCTTTCGTGAACTGTGTGGGGAAACATCTGAGGTCATCTTAGATTGGAGGGGGAAGATAAATAGAGGATTCAAGTCAACAAAGCGCTAAGGGGCGACGTCCGTGAGGGAATGATGGTTAATTTTGCTTTGGCTAAAAGTGTAGAGAATTTTGCTGTTAAAATATTTATTTTTATAAGTGGAGTTTTCATTCTAGATCCTTCCGATCCGAGCGGTCATCTGTTTTACGAACTATATGCCCGCTTACTGATACTTTAACTTGCTGGTCAGTTGGCCTGTGTCAGTAATCTTCCCATATCTAATTCTTTCCTGCAAATAGTTATTTGCAAAGTCGATGAGCGACGCTAAGCTTATTTAGCAACGACTTGGTAAGAGAAGATATTATGTTACTGGTAAAAAACTCTTGGCAGAGTTTCTAAAGGATTTGTTTTTACAGTTGGATTTGACGTCTGTCATACTCCCCGGCAGTTGGGCTTACTTAATATGAATGTTCAGTCCAGGTATACGTGTTCTTTTATATTAAAAGGGTCAAGGTACTGTACTGTCAGCAAGCTATTTGTCAGCATATTGTGCTCGGATTAGCCACTGTAAAACAGATCCTACCGAATGCTTTTTAGACACACGAATCTAATAAAACATAACTAAGGAATGCTGATTACATATAACTAAAAGCCAAAAATATACCCCAGACTCAGAACATTACAGGTACTCAGTTCTACCTACATTGAACTAGATGGTAGAACTGAGTTCTTGAGTGGAGACCGCGTCGAGGCAAATGTATAAGATACCCACAAGCCAGGTGGGGTGACGATTAGCGCAAGATGATGGCAGGAGCTGCATGCAAGAAGCTCTGGATCGAACCAAGTGTCATGCAATTGGAGACGCCTATGTCCAGCAGTGGTTTGCGATAAGCTGATGATGATAATGATGACAATAGCAATTTGATGACGATTATTAGAGTATAAATTTAAACCCTAACACTAAAAGTTAGTTTTTATTTTCATCCTATAGCGTGCGATAAGGACCAGTAGCTCCACGCTTTGCTGTGCTTTTTTTTGCTACCTTCAATAGTAAAAACGATACGAAAACAGAATGCATTAAAATCTAAAATTATTAACCTTTTTAAAATATATAATACATACCACGCCCTGGATTAGATAATACTTTTTCTAACATATAATAGCCTAAAATTTTGTTCTTTTGATTTTAATTCTTTATTTTATTTTATTTTATGTTAGAGGGACTTTTGAATTTGATTCTTTTTTTTATGTTAGAGGGGGCAGACGAGCAGACGGGTCACCTGATGGAAAGTGACCATCGCCACCCATGAACGTCAGTAACTCGGGAGTCAAAACGCGTTGCCGGCTTTTTAGGAAGGAGTACGCTCTTTTCTTGAAGGTTTCTGAGTTTAAGATGCACATTAACATGCGATTAAGCATTAATGTGTGGCATTTACATTCGCATAACTATTAGCATGTGGTGCTAAAAGGAGAGACTGGACTGATAATGATTTGGTTTTTGTTTCTTCAAAAGGTGGCTCTATCGAGTGTTAAACATAATTCCAGAATACATTGAACAGATGTACAGCCATTTCGACATCTAATCGTTCAAGAGATTTCCAGCTCAGGGGAATTTTAAAGTTTCATAACAATATTTGTTTCCCTTCACCTTCACCATATACTGTGATCTATTCATTTGTTCTCTTTTTTTACGGTATATACGGCTTTTTTATATTAAAAAAAAATGAAATACGTTTGGCTGTCTGTGTGTATGCAAGTTTTTTAAAGTGGGACACAAATCACAAAACTGCACGCCTAGCCGTTGTATTTTAATGCCCGTATACTATTTTGTTTTGTAAAATAAAACTGAATGATTAATGGTTGAAAATCTATGTGAGTGGCACAGGTGTACACAGTTATCGGCGTAGTTTTTAAATGTTGCTGCATAGAGTTTATTTCACGAACTTAATAATTTTAAATTTACATTAAAATAAATAAGTTTAATGTATTTTAGATCTTATTTCTTCACGCTCAAACGGCTGGACCAATTTTGATAAAATTTGATATGGAGGTAGCTCACACCCTGGATTAACACTTAGGGTTTTTATCCCGATATAATGTAGTGTTCCAGGCGGATGAGCAAGGCATATATCAGATACCTCGGGTACCACTGCGGGTAACAACGTGCAGTTAGTATGTTATATACGAAAGGACTGTACCATCGAAAGGAATGCACTTGAATATACTACCTTCATCAAACAAGAACAATCATTCATTCAATCAATCATCAATTTAATCATTTCATTTTCAATTTCATTTCAATTCAATCATAATAATAAATTGAGCCGCGGTCCTAACAGTCAGAATGTTGGGTGAATACTGATAATCATTGCGGTAGAATATATTATGGGTACATATTATTTATCAGAAGGCTGTTGGTCTGACAGGCCTGTTGGTCTAGTGGTTAGCGACCCTGACTGCTAAGTCGGAGTTTGACGGTTCGATTCCCACCCAGGACAAATGTATTGTGATGAGCACGGTCATTTGTTGTGTCTGGGTGTAATTTATCTATTATATGTTTGTATTTATAAATTTATAAGTATGTTTATTAGCAGTCGTTAACATAGTACAGGCTCTGCCTAGTTTGGGATCAGACTGCCGTGTGTGAGATGTGTGAAATTATTATTATTATTAGACGAATGTACCTTCAACGTACCTCATATTTTTTTTAACTGAAAATATAACGCGTTGAGTAATTAACGAGAAAATGAAAAAAAAAAACAAATTTTGACGCCTACTCATTTTTTTATAGCAATACGAGTTAGATTATATTTGCTCGTATAAAAAAATGACTTGATTAAAAGAGGATTATTTTCATTTTTGACACCAACACATAATTGAGCGAGGAAGTAAGTTGAACTGAGCATAAGTTGAGCAAAGGGAAATTGAGGATTTACAATAAGAGCAAGTGTTCTTCTTGTACAATTTTACATATTAATTCATTTATTTACTTATTATTATATATTTTTAATACTTTAATAGCGGGCAATTAGCGGTGTTTTCAAACAGTTAACAAAATTGATCCAACTTTTGAGCGTGAATAAGTAATAATAAAAATAATAATAATATTGTACCACATTCACACAACGCCATCTAGTCCCAAACTAAGCAGAGCTTGTACTATGGGTACTAGACAACTGACATAAATACATATATACTTTTTTTTTGTAAATACATACTTATTATACATAGAAACACCCAGACCAAATCAATCATTAAATGTTCATGCACCAAATGTTTGACTTGAGCGGGAATCGAACCCGCGACCTTTGGAATAGCCGTCCGTTACACAAACCACTACGCCATTCGGTCGTCAAATAACAAATATACAAACACACATTTACAAACTTTTGCCTTTATAATATTAATGTCTTGCCTTTATAATAGTAATGTCTGCAACAATACACCTGTCATTCTGACCCACAGTTTTTTTTTTTAAACGGTTTTTTTTTGTGGAATAGGGGGCAAACGAGCAGACGGGACACCTGAAAGGTTAATTCCTTCGATAATTCTTGAAAAATATAATATGAATATGATAATGTCGTACTTTAGGGGCCCCTGTGGGGTCAAGGGTCAAAGGGTCCTGGGCCCATACCCAATGTGTCCTTATTGTGAAGATGGTACTGGCGGTGGTATGATATCGGGTTCGGGGCAGAGACCGCAATACGAACTGGCTTCGAATAATTGTACAGGTGAACAGAGTACAGACGTACCATGACGTGGTATGAAGAAGATCCTATGTGTACCTTTATACTAAACTTAGTACAAAAGCATAATTATTAACGTTTAACTGTCGTATTATTAACGTTTCTAATAGTAAATTTGCTTGTGCAGGTGATATTCTAGATCACATGTATATTTCTAAAAAGTTTGTAAGTATATTTCTACTAAGACATAAATCATTCGAATGAGAAATTTAATTTCTAATGCGAATAATCACATACAAATTTTATAAGTAAGCAAAGACAAAACAGTTGATTTATCTTTTGTCCTAAGTTTGTCTTGCAATTTTCTAGTAACTACTGAGAGCTTAATATTTTTCAAAACAATAGTAATTATACTGTCGAATTTCGGCAATTACTAATGTTTCTATATATATATATTTTTTATGATATAAGGACAAAACAAGCAAAATATGCGTCAAGTATTGGTTAATAATTAAATTACAGAATTATAGGAAGACGAGCGCTTGGCCATCTGTATTCTCTCTCGTCCTCACTCAGTCGCCATATTGTCACTCCTGTCCAGCCATTTGTGCTGGCTAGACAGGAGGCTGCATGGCTCTCCCACGACATAATGAAGATTAATAAACATATTTTAGGTTGTTATTAGGGCATGTTTTAAAGGTGTATCAACCATGTCAAAACTAACATTGAAACTAAATATTCGTCCCGACAAAAATACACGGTGTTCAGTCACAAGCAGGATACTCAAATACCTAAACCCCTTTAATGTAATTTAGAAAAACATGCTAAAAAAACTCACCGTTTTGTCCAAGATATAGCTGCCCGGTAATATTAAAGGCACGTACGTGATCATATACACCATGGAAGTCCATGACACAAGGGTACTAGGTATTTGATAATATTCCACAACAATATTTGATATGATTGTGTATTCTACCCACTGCATTGAGTTCGTTGCTGATAATAATATGAACATGGCTAGAATCGCCCATCTTGTTTTCTCCGGCTTAAACTGAGGTGGATCCTCAGGAGGTAGAAACCACATATTTTCAGTCCCAGAAGGTATTTTCTCTTCTTTATGTGGAAATTTTTCAGCAGCTTCATATTGAGTCATTTGCTTCGCTTTTATAAGTCCGATTCAAAATAGATTGCTTAATAAAGTCCGATTCAAAATTTTTTAACGTTGCACTTTTAATATTTTTTTTGGTATTTTATGAATTATAAAAATTCGTTATAAGACACTTTTTAAATTCGGTAATTACACTTATAGCAGTCATTTGGGCCCAAGTTTACTGTACAAAAGTTTTAATTGTGATAAGAAACCTGTTTCTTCAGTCTTTTCTTCCACAGCGATGTCTGAAAAGAAAAAAAAAAGTATTTATTGGAAGAAAAAACATACATTACATGTTAGATTAGGTATAACTAAATACAATTCATATACCAAATTTATAAACGTGACAACATTATTCACAGATTAAACAAAATAATAGTACATCATATTATTAATTCGTAAATGTCGCACAAAGGAAATTTCAAATACTAAAAAAAAACAGCAATACAACAATGCAAATTCCAGTAGTAAATGAAGATTAAATTAAGGATTCAATGAACTCAAAAGTTCAACTGCCTGTTTTTTATATTGGCAAGAGCAAAATGTGCGTTTTAATTATGCACAATGCGGAGAAGGGGTGCGCGGACACCAGCGTTGGTCCTGTAAATGCTCGTATAGAACAGATAACCTACATACAAAGCTAATAAGATATAAGACGAAAAGGATATGAGACAAAAGAAATGGGACGATTTCAATTATTTTTTTGTCATAAAATAAAATAGAAAAAATATTTTTTTTACTTTATAAAAAAAAAATGTCCCATTTCTTTTGTCTCATATCCTTTTCTTATATCTTATTAGCTTTTTCTTATTAGTTTGTTTATCGGTTATCTAAGTAAAATGAAGCCTATGTTACCCTATGATAATGTATCTTTCCATTGGTTGAATAATTGTTAAAATCGATTAAGTGGTTTAGACGTGAAAGTGTAACAAACACACTTACTTTGACATTTATAATATACTAGTTTGCCCGTTACTCCGCCCGCGTTGTTGATTCCCATACAGACTTCCACACCCCTTTTCATTCCCTTAAAGAATGATTTCTGGGATAAAAACTACCCCTTGTCCTTTCCTTCTACTCAAACTATCTCTAGTGATAACAGTTAGACAGATACTCTTTCGAATTTACAATATTAATATAGAAGTATGGATTAAAAATAGACCGATTCGTCACACCATCTTCTTGGAACTCAGAGCTATTGTTGTCTTATTTCCCCATTTAAAACTTGCTGTATTCCCTACCTTTTTATTTTTTTTTCTGTGCGGAAATCCCCTCTGATAAAACCCAACGGTGGTTATGTCGGACCGCACGCCGTCTCGGGTACCAGTTGCCGGGGAACCATGTGTACCCTAGGAAGGAAATCCCTGAGCTGTATCCCCTACCTGACACAGTTTACCCCAATTCTATCTCCCTTCTACCTCTGACGAGTCTCCAAACAATTACATTCACAAGACAGCTTGAACTGAAGCAAGAGAACGACCGCAAAAAAAACCCAGCCAAAATATTTTCCAAAGTTACGTAGTGGGTCTGCTTCAAAATTTGGAAAAGGACCTTCTTCCTCTGAGCCTTTTACCCAAACAAGGTTGGGGTCGAGTTTAAGTCTATTACGATACGGCTGAACTTCGATTTCGGTAGAGCAACTGCCATCAGAGCCCCACAACCCAAGTACTAGGCGATATCGAAGTTCTGTAGATAAACTGTTGTCGGATTTTTAAGTGCTCCAGCCAGTAATTTACTTAGATACCTGAATATTTACAATAAGCTTCCACACCAGATAGAATTGTAAAATGTAACAATCAAACTTTTATTGAATGTCATATATATTTTGCAATTTTCTTACTTTTTCTACACTACTTCCATTCAAAAGCTATCATAGACCAGTAAGGGAAATTCATATATTATTATAATAGGGTGAGTCTATTAAGTAATTTAAAAATGAATTATTGTTCATTAACTAGCAAAAGCATTAACACAATACCCGGGAACTAAAAAAAGAATAAACTATACAATACAAAAAAGGTAACTTACTTATTTTCAAACACATTAATAAAAACAAAACAATTCACTGTCTATGACTAAATTTCACTGGCATAGAATGTTAAACGTCACTTCATACGCAAAGCGACACACGCACTGAATACATCAAGAAGCCAGCAGTGAAACTAGCAAATTGATTAGCTAGTGTACTGGAACGATGACATTTTTAATCGGCTAGGTTATATTTGAACTGATAAAGCTCGACCTGAAGACAGCCCGCCCAGTGACATTGATGTTCAACTCGGTATATTGATCTTTTAATGGATGGCGTGTTGGGCAAAATGTTTATTGACGTCACATCACTAGCTTTATGTCTCTAGAGTAGCCAGTGTAGTAAGTGGTTTTTGAAAATAGAATAACAATTCTGTTTTTTATTTGACACTGTTTTTTTATAGTCAGATCTGTAATTTATTACCGCCCATGAACACCTCTAACTCAAGGGAGTCTTTTGAGTCGCCAATTTGTGTTGGTTCGGGTGGGCCCCTATTAATCTCACTCTGTTGGTGAAATGCAACGAAAGAATTGCTAACCATTGGTTTTCTATGAGGTCCTGGTATGGTTCCGGTCGAGTAGGTACATATAATATATGCCCAAGTATGGCTCTCCAACGGTGATAAATGCGCATGAATACTAGTCCAATGCTGAACATAGGCCTCTCCTTAGAGAGGAGCTTTTAGCCTACTATACCACGCTGCCCAGACGGGTTTGTACAGGGTTTGTCTAAAGTTTTCCTTCTCTTTGAAGTGCTGTTACAGTTGTCCTGCAGAGTGTGTTCTCCTAGTCGGCTCTTACAACACCCAAAAAAAAGGGGTGGTGACACTCCGTATTCTTAATCCGCCACCACACTGATTCAATCAAAACAATACTAGAGTTTGTTTAGCTTTTGAAAGCAGTTTTTTTTAAACAAAATAAACTGATTGGCTCGCCTGTTAGTCTAACTGATCCTGACTGCTAAACCAGAGATCGTGGCTTCGATCCCACCCAGAACCATTTTTTTGTGATGATCATACCAACCCGTCTGGCCAGTGTGGTTTAGTATGTCAAAACCTCATTTCTAAGGAGAGGCCTCTGTCCAGCCTTGGACTATTAAATGCTGTTAATGATGATGACGATAATCAAGATCTTCTTGTTCTGTGTCTGGATGAAATTTATCTGTAGTTATGTACTTTAGCCACAAAGGGATAGATAGAGGCGAAATAAAATGCCCACATTTTGCCGACTATATTTTTAGTCCCACTCATGTAATGGGTCAACCGAACTCATGTATTTCCAAATAAACATACTTATATAGGAATAAACAAAACAAAAACTTATATATACAGGAATATATATATTTTTTTCATTTTCATTTCATTTTTTAAAAAAAGCGTCGCGGGTCGCGTGTCGCGGAGGACTTTACAAACATACATCAACCAGACACAAAGAACATCCAGACTCAGAACAACAATTTGTGGATTACACAAGCTCTTGTCCCATGTGGGATTCGAACCCAAAACACTCAACGCAGTAGAAAGCGGAGGGGGGGGGGGGGGCCGCTTAAACCACTACGCCATGCGTGCACTCACTGATTTTGCCGTTTGAAAACACTTTTGGGCGGTTAAAAGTTCTTACTTTAACATTTACATCAACAAGTAACCCGGGCACAATTTGCATTAGACGCCCCATTTAATTCCTCAGTAAATTCTAAACAGTACTAAATTAAACTTACAATATTAATTTAATACAGCATTTATTACACTTAAGCTCCGATTAGCACTCTTATTATAATCTCTATGTATTCATTGATTTTGAGTTAACATGTGGAAAGACCGATTTGATGGTGAATGAGAGCGAGAGATGGAACTAATTGAATGGAAATATCGATTGGTTAGCATCGCTTCATTAGCTCCGGGACATCGACTTATCTTGTCAATAACACCTCGGTCTTAATCCGATTGAATGGGTACTTAAGAGGAAAGATTTGAGTTGCTTAGATTCTTGGGACTCAATTCTGGCAAAGCCGACGGAATTCTACTGAATATTACTTTTAAAATAGACGTATTGTATCTTCTTTGTACATGTGTCTAATCTGTGATCTTGCTTAGGCGACCGAGACCCTGTCCGTGTGATGACGGATTAGGAATACGGAGTGACACCACCCCTATTCTACTAACTCTGCAGGACAACATCACTGCAAAGAGAAAGCAAACTTGAAATAAACCCCATATTGACCCGTCTGGCCAGCGTGAGTAGTAGGTTATAGTAGGTTCAGCAGTGTACTATTAAAAGCTGTTGATGACAACATGTGTCTAATTGATTGATTGACAACTTTTATATTTTATCTTTGTACCTCCCGCATCATATTTCTACATCTCTCGAAGGTCAACTGGGAGAGAATGATAAGGGTATTAAGCCCGCCTGTGTAAAACTTGTACATTAGACATAAATAAATAATTGACTTTTTTTTAGGGCAAATACTTTTTCTAGTGTAGGTGGGGCTTCCAAAAACATTTTGAATTTTTATGTCAATATCTCTTTTCCCTTTTAAAAAAGACAACTCCCGCATTAGGAATAAATCCTGTGTCGGGGACTTTACAAATATACATGAAACGGACACAAAGAACACCCAGACTCAGAACAACAATTTGTGGATCACACAAAGTGTCGTCCCATGTGGGGTTTGAACCCACAACACTCGGCGTAGTAGGAAGCGGCGTGGCGACCGCTTAAACCACTACGCCATCCGTGCAGATTATCCTTATCAGGATCTTCAATGGCGTTGTTTATTTTACTGACTTTTGCAGAAAAGTGTGGACATGCCATTAACGTCTCCACGACATAGTTTCATTTGCGTCATTCTATTCTCATACGAAATACCCATTACCAATATCTGTCAACTTTTAAGTTCAAGTTTCGTTTGAAAATTACAGTATTCAAAATAATAACTAAACGACGGGGCTAATGATTTTGTGGTATACCGGTTTCGA